GTGCAACATTTCTCATGCGAAAATGGCACAGCAGCCGTTGCCTGTCGATCGGTAGCGATCAGCAGGCAAATCCAACAGATGATCAGCAACAGTCAAGGCGGTGTAGATTGGCAAGTTTATAAATATAAACAAAACTGGTTGCGATCGATCACCGAATTGTGCCCGTCGTCGTTCACAGCTGACGTGAAGATCACCGCAGTGCGGGTGGCGTATTTGAGGGACGAATCGCTGGCGCACCGTTGTTTAATTAAGTGCTGCAAAACGGTTGGCGTACACAGTTGTGTAGTTGTATGTTTTTGCATTAGGGTGGTGCAAAAATGCAGGTGAAAAAGTAAAGTATAATTTTAATTGTCTCTTCCACTATGATTGTCTATATCGAAGAAATGTACCCCTTTTTTAAATGTGTTTATAAGGTTCATCGAAAACTTTAAGCGTTTTGAGCAACCTGTAAATATTTTTTGATTTCGAAATAAAAAAGAGGGGTATACTTTTTTCAATATAGAACAATTCTAGGAGGTGAGAGCATTAAAATTCCGACTTTATTTTTTTTTTACCACACTAATGTGCATTACATACATATGCGTATGCCTGTATGCAAAGCTCCACTTTCTTCCAAAATAAAAAAGTGGTATTTTTTTTTTAGTATAGCACAGTCCAAAGGGGTGAGTAAATTAAAATTCCGACTTTGCTTATTTTGGACCACCCCAATATACATATACATAAATGCGTGGTGTGTATATTTTGATCTGTTTATTATGCTAAACGTAAGCCGATAAATCCAAGATAAGCAAATTTAAAAAGGCATAGAGCAATGCGAGCATGCCGATACTGCTTACATACATATGTATGTATGTGCATTAGGGTGGTCCGGACACGCATGTGAAAAGGTAAAGTCGGAATTTTTACGCTCCTACCCCCTAGAATTGTTCTATACCGACAACAAATATAAAAATATTTTTATTTATTTTGAAACCAAAAAATATTTAGATGTCGCTCAAAGCGCGAAAAGTTTTCCATGTATTTTATATGGAAAAAAACAACTTTTCGTAGAAATTGTATAGAATTCTTAAAAATCAATATATTTCGATCGAAAAACTCTGTTTCTCTGCAGGAGATTCCCAATAATAATACCCAATTGTTTATGTAGTCATTTTTTCAAAGTAACTATAATTTATAGGTCCGCCAGAAACCGCTAGAAACCCCGAAAAATGCAATGGGACATAAAAATCCTTAGTACTAAAAAATTATTAAATAAACAATTGGGTACTATTATTGAAAGTCTCCTGAAGAGACTTTTTTTTCAATACAGAACAATTCTAGGAGGTGCGAGCATTAAAATTCCGACTTTATTTTTATTTTTTTTTTTTACCACACTAATGTGCATATACATATGCGTATGCCTGTATGTAAAGCTCCACTTTCTGTATCCCACTTATTGCTTCATCATTTACATACATATTTACATTCAAGCACACAGATTTTCAATAGCTTTCAATGCGCCAGAAAAAATAGAAAAATAAACAGTAAATTCATAGAATTCGCATATGCATATGTATACATATGTATATGTATTTATGTTAGGCAAAATAAGTTTTTAAAAACATAAACTAGGTTTGAGTGAGTCATCTGAGCCGCCCAAGGCGAGCAAAACTTTATGTGCGGTTTAACACCAAGCATTCGCATTACAAAAAGGTTGCCATTTCGAATGCCAGCCGTGATCGCGCATAAATCACACGCTATTCATTATATGTAAATACACACGTACACATATGAAGATACATACACACGTATATGCATACATACCCTAAATTGGGATCGACATTCTTGTCTCGCCGCTGATGCGCCAAGGTTCTCGCGCTCTGAATCTAATTTACCGCCATCACCCAATTAGCATGACGGACACACCGCAGCATAACGGAAATCGCTCACAATCTTAACGATACATATGTATGTATAAGCTTGGATTGGTCTGCTTTGAATACCTGAAAAGTTACGGCACCTTTTTGTAAGGTTTTATGGCTTTAAGCCGTTGAAAATCGCCACAAAATGCTAAGTTTCAAGTTTTGTACTTTTTAATGCTTAATTAGTCAGGAAGGATTATCTGAGCGCAGATTCCTAAGAAGCAAGCCGACAATAAGTATGCCGCTGACATTTCATGACAGTTGACTATAGTTCCCAATTAACAGCGTGATTGGCAAAGTTGTTAAAAATTTCATTTCCGGTGATGTCATATCCGAAGTTTGATATCCAACGCGCTTCGATGAGAAAACTGTCACTGGCATCGAATAGGAACAATACCTGAAGCTGCCTGTACAAGGATCGATTTCCTAGTCGATTTTTATCGTTCAACCAAAATCGATCAGTGTAAATGGCAATTCAAGCGTAAAATGTTAGTATATTGACTGGTCGATATATGGGTCGATTTTCCAGTCGACAGAAATAAGCTTTCCATTTTTTACCCGTAGGCTGTATGGGAGACTACAGTCAAGTTTTAATGCAGTTAGATTAAACTGGTTGATGAAATTAAGTGATGATCCAGTATTTTGGATGATCTTTCTGCAAACCTTAGCTAGCCCGACTTCACAGCGACTGGCAGCGAATGCAATGAGGTTAACCTGAATGCTTATTCTGTAGCCAGGCCACAAAGATATTTCAGAGCACTGAATAGCAAGCTAACTGACAAGAAAGTTCATCTTTGATCAGTGACGTTCTTAATAACTTTAACGAACAGGCGAATAGAAGACAGTCTGCAAAGCGCAGGTGCAGGATAGCACGACTTATCGGGCCTAAATTAGACAAGGCAATCTTTCGGCTGACGGGATCACTGCTTCGTCATGTAATGGTGGAAGTCGAGAGTGTAGAGCATTATTATGTCACTGGCCCGCATTGGCAAGTACCTGCCTGTCTGGAGCACGGTATCAGAATGGGCCAAAGCGCACCCCTCTCCAACGTTGGGGTCCAGTGCTATTCAAAACTACTTTGGTATCCAACTCGTAAGATCTGTAGATGACTACCCTATCCTAGATTTTTCAACTGTCCCCGTTCCAGAGTAATATTTATCGTTTTCTTGGAAAATACATGCACTTTTCCAAATATCTGAAATTCTCTATTAGTTCAATATACATATATATGTATATTTTATTGGCGCGAGTAAAATCGCCCACAGTATTAACTTTTGGGGGGCCAAATCCCCATATTGTGTAAGAATGTCGCTATCGAACTCTTGCGATTTATAAAATTATTAAGCTTCTCAAGTTTTCTTTTAGTACCTATTTACTTAGAATAAAGTCCAGTTTTCAACATAAGCGCAAAATACACAAAGATTTGTTTTCTAGACATTTATAATTAATTTAAATTTTTTCTTTTCCAGGTCATGTCCTTGAACTAGCGGAGCAGTCTGAGAATAAGACCTTGGCGGTATTTTCCCAAGTATACCGACGCATGGTGCCTCAGTACAGCGAATTGATATGTCAGCTCTATTCGGGGATCATGAAGTAAGTCAACAACGTCAAAACTTCCAGTCTATCCGCTTTGGCTCACTCCATCTGCTTTTCTTATCAAATCGTCATTTAATGATTTTCCAACGTTTTCTTTTTCCTTACTTGCAGCCACTTGAGGAATGCGAATAGTAATGGTATGAACACCGGCAGCAGCAGCAGCAGCAGTGGCAGCAGCAGCAGCAGCGGCAACAACCTGAGCAATCTAGAAGATGCCATACAGAAATTCTTTGTGAATCTCTTTCCGGTCGCCTATCATCAGGCGGTGCACTTGAGCAAGGATAATTATGGCGAATTACATGAGGATTATATCAATTGCTTGAAGCACACATTCGACCAATGGCGTCGCTTGCACCACGAACACCACGTTTCAGTTATGTTTTA